TAAACTTAGCATTAGAGATGTAAGAGCCGAAGCTTATGCTTTAGCCCTATCGGCAATAAATGCTAATGCTGGCTCATCACGTCTTTCTCGACTCCGAAGAGAACTAAAAAATCTTGGTACTTCATTACAAATAATTGAGGCTACGAAATTCCCAGACATTACAGAAGATGCTAACAAAATCCAGAGGGATAATCAGAAAAAGGCTGAAGCTAATCATATTGATTATCCAGATAAATTTACATTAGAATCGGTCAAAGAAAGGTTAGATGCGTATAATTTAAAAACTCCACCCAATTATTGGGCTCTTGCTGATGTCATGATAATGCTTTGTATTCGCCCCGCTAAACTTACAACTTTACGTATTACAGATGCCGGAGTAATAGGTTATGCAAAGAATAGGGGACAAGCAGATATCCCAAGAAAATTTAGATCTATGGAAAAAAATCAAGAGCGAGTCAAAGAATTACTAACCTGGGTACAGAATGCTATATATTCTGGTCGAATGGGTAATTCAGGTAAGCCAGGGGTTAAATGGTTTAATAAATTCTTAAAAGATTATGATTTAATTCCTAAATACTTACGAAAAATGGGTGCAGTTTATGCTGTCGTAGTACATAAAGCCAAGAATATGGCCCATGCCTATACAATCGCTGGAGAAGCCTTACGTCATTCGAGTGATAACCATACTTCTCCAGTACAAAACTACGTTGTAGTAAATTATCGTCCGAGAAATACCCCTCCTGAACAGGCAAAACCATTCCGAATCTATGATATAGATTAATTACTAATCACGCTTCTTTGCTTTTGCCACATCCACAGTAAAATCTTCATCACTAGATGATTCAGAACTAGACCCAGACTCAGATGTGCATGTTGTCTCAGATGCTGCATCATTAAAAATTAACTTTTTTCTTTTAGCCTTACATGGTATACGATTTCTTCGAGAAATATCCGAATTTGCTATCGAGTTTATAATATCCTGCTGAATCTCGGGTTTCACTATTTTTAGTAATTGACGGAAAGAGATCTGAATTTTTTTATTTGACACTTGTTTAATAATGCGAGATATCACACTATTACCATTTCGAGATTTATGATTATTTTCTAATGTAGTTTTATTCATTGTCAATATTGTATCGTAATATGTACCCTGGTACTAGCTTTGCTATTATTTATTATATTAATACATAATAAAATTCAGAATAAATAATTATTTTTCGGTGATATCATGTGTTTTAAATCCATGAATTGGAGATCAGCATAGAAGTATTTCAAAGAAATGGTACTAACCGCACTTATCTATAAGTTAAAAATCATTAATAATTGCCATTGAAGATCTAGCAATGATCCTTTAGATCGAGACTTTGACTCTTCCGGCTCATACTAATTAATTCGTGAATGAACGGATCGCCAAATCCGAAATTAGCTTAATAGAATCTGCAAATTAGTTTTGTTAGTCATGAGAAATAAACTATATAAAAAAGCTAAGTATAAGTAATTTCGTTATGTAAAACTTATCTGTACTTTACTGATATCATTATGTCCCTTACTAATCTCCAAAACTTCGCTCTTAATATTTTAAAAGAAACCGATCATTCTATGGTCAAAGATATCAATGATATAGAAGTACCACTATGCAAAGATTGTGATAAAAAAATTCTTTCACTTAATTATGAACCATTCACAATCCTCGCATGTGGACACATGTACCATAGATATTGTATTGAGAAAAAAATTTTACTTACGGATTCGAATGTATGCCCTATTTCTAGTTGCAACAAATCTGTCGAGCCAGCAGTTTCTGCACAAAAGGAATATGAATCGTCCTAGTCTAGTGGAACCTCAGATTTAGTGAATCTTTTGGGTAAAAGTAATCTTGGATTCAATTCTCCAAGAAATCCACCTGATGATTCAATGGATGTGGATATGTCTCGAGAAGATCCATCCAACCCTACCCTATCTAAAAAACGTGTTAATGAACCTACCTCATCAGATAAATCACCTAATAAGAAAACAAAGCAGGCTAAGAAAGAATCACATGTATTGAAAGAGCTTATAAAAGAATTATCTTCTAAGGATCCAGTAAAAACTATTACTCAAACAGAATCAGCCTCCGAA